GGGGGACAACATACCAGCAGAATTTCTGCAGGTAGAAGTACAAGTAAGTCTTCAAAGCTGTTACTATTCTGAAGACATATGGTCATACTGACATGAATTTGGTTTCACTTTGGATTGTTAATTCAAAGAAAAAATATTTGTGAAATCCTTCTTAAAGCATATTTTTCTACTCGTCTCCAACACGTTACCACAGTACAGTAGCTTTTGTGGGTGAAATAAAAAATTGTATTCTCGTATTTTTATATATTTTTTATTTTTGTAGTTTTCCCAAAGGAGAATAAATTAGCAAACAACCTGTACATTTACTGAGAGGATTATGGCCATTTAAAATAATTGTTGATGTCATGGACTTGCGACCTGTCCGGGGTGTCCCCTGCCTCTCTCACATTGTGATAGCTGGAATATGGGCACCAGTGACCCCCGTGACCCGAAAAGAAAAGAAAAATTGAGTAAAAGATAATGGACGGACGGATGGACGGACGTTGTGTGCATGAATGGCCGAAACACAACAGACGTACCGTAATAAATAATTCAGTGAATTAATTACCACCACAAGAGTTTGTGTCATTGACTTATGGATTTGGGGAAAACAACGTTTTCAAAGCAATACATGACAATAACTTGTTTGTTTCTTCATAGCATGCAGAGTTCCAAGAGACATCAGTCTTCCAGCCTGAGACCATGACATGACACGAAACCGAAACAAACTGCTGACTACACAAAAACTAGCATTCAGCACAATAACAGGACTCACTTCTTCTGTTTGCGAAATAAAACAAAACAAAAAAAAAAAACTAAAGAACTTTCTGTAATATGACCTCACAATATAGAAACCTAGAACAACTGTGTTCATAGAGCTGCAGCTGACCATTACAAGCATTGGAAACCCCAATTAGTCACATTCACTGCAGGAGAGTGAAGAGAAGGCTGCTATCCCCTGATGTCCTGCCTGTTCAGCAAACACGGTATCAGCAGGCACTTCACACATCAGTGCACATGAATAGCACAGTCAGCCAGTAGGCATCAACACAGGGCTGGATGTTGACACAGACGAGGAGAGGCCTACTCGTATGGCTGAGCTTCAAGGCCCCATTTCAATCAAAGAAATCAGTGGATGAGCAAATGGCCAGCAAGTACAAAACACTAGTTCGAAGACCACCAGTTTTCTTGTTGCCTGCTGGGGAACAGTCAAGATATTAAACACACTACTAGTTTTGTTATGGCTCTGGGGCAAATATCTGGTTTTACAAGTGAGATAATTGGCCTGCTGCTAAAAAGGGGGCCTAACTGGAAATTATAACTTAAGTCACTGATATTCGTACTGCAACTTTGTATTAATTTGTGTTTACTACAAAAAAGTTATTTTGTTGTTTTAATTGAAAAATATATACAACTTTTAAAAAATGGGTGTGTTAAATGTGCAGAGCAAGATGAAGCATCTCCTGTATATGCTGCTGGTCATGTGTCACTCATGGGCCAGGAAGCTGCATGGATGCTGCTAATTTACCAGCCAACTGTGGTCCAAGAACCGCCTGAAGCCTGTTACAGCCAGCTAATGTATTCTCTCAACCTCCCCCTCCACTTCTATACTCACTCTCATGCTCTTCCTCACTGTCTCTTACCCTCCCTTTCTTTCCTAAGCTCTCACTTCTTTTTCCATGAGCTACTGCCCTCTCCATCTCTTACCCCTCCTTCCTTTCTCTCTCTCTCAAGTGCTAACCACTCTCCTGCACATAGCTCTTTTCCTACCACTTGCTCTCTCACACGTGCGCATGCACTCACGCACTGACACACAAACTGTGGCAGCAACCACAACAGTGAGCAACCTCCCCCACACTCCAGCGAAAGCAGTGTGCAAGTGCCTCTGGCTTGCCCTGACCCACATCTTGATATAGCCCTAAGTATGCTTACAGCTAAGTCCTGAAGACACTCCTGCCACTCTTAGCCTAATCAGGCCTGACCTGCTGTCCAAGCACAGGGCAGATAGAACCAGGCTAGACTGACCATTATCACTGTCAAACTGCTTAAGAAACATTTTAATATCTACCTTCCTCCACTCTACTGCTGATTACAGGTTTCCTAGCATACAAGCATGGACAGTCAAATATTACACAAGCATTACACAAATGACTAGTATCAGTGTCATAATATACAAAGAAGCACAAAGATTATCCTGATAACAGCAAATATTTGTTTTCTATTAGTCAAATAGATCAAAATCGAAGCAAACTTGAAACAACGGAAGACAAAGGACGAAGAGAAATTGCAGGGATCAGAAAGTTGTTCTGCATTAAGTGTGTGTAAACACAGACTTCACACACAAATACACATAGATAAGAAAAAAATATTCTACCTTTTCATCCTTGCATTCAAAAGATGTTAGTTTTCTGTCTTCATATCCATTCTTCTGGCTAGCTTCAACCCATGAAAAGCTAGATTTGTCTTGTTTTGTGAAATCATCTTCCAGCTGAGGTAGCAGGTCAGGCAAGAGGTCAGGTGGTTCCAGCTGTTCCAAGTCTCCATCCTGGGCCTCTGATGGAAGAAAATCGTCTCTGAAAGCTTGGTATCCATTAGTGTTGATAGCTCCACAGCTCAAAGGCTGCTGAGGGAGCAGTTGGCTTGCAATGCTAGGATAGCAACTCACTGACTCACCAAACATCTCGGATGAATTTCCCTGGGTTTCCCCAGTACAACGCAGTGTTCTGAAGGGACACTGCTCTGTCTGGTTAGTAGTTGTTGTTGTTCTAGAGTGCAGTTGGCTCATGAGTGCTGTAGACTGAAACCGACATGTTGCCCCTGATAGCCCAGAAACAGTAGATGTATGTGTTGCAGTCGTGATAGGTCTACATTTTGAGGCTGTGGATAAAGACTGCTGACTGAGACTAGGTATTTCTGGCTCTCCAGGGTAGGCAGGGTACTCAGCCGGTTGGTAAGCATTAGCAGAACTGATGGAGCATGTTGTCAGGGAGTGAATTACAGATGGTGAATGCATGGGGAATGACAGGTGAGAATCTTCCAGTCCTGACTGGGAGAATGATTGACCTCTTCTGAGCAACTGGTAGTTACCCTGCTGTTGCTCTGTTTGCAACCGAGACGAATTTTGACTTTCCAAACAAGACTTACTAGGAATAGATCTGGAATGAAACTGTAGTTCTCTTGCAGGTAGCTGATGTTGAACCTGCTGTTGAGTATGGTGCATTTGCTGATGGCTGCTGGCCTGACCTCCCTGATGAAAAGAAAAATTGCGATGTTGCTGTTGCTGCAGAGAGACATTTGCTGTGCCAATTTGTTGATGCTGGTTTAATAGTTGTTGTGGATGATTGTGCCGTTGTTGAAGTTGTTGCAGCCGCATCCTGTGCTGCTGCTGCTGCTCCTCCTGCTGATGATGAGAAGCATGGTGTTGAAGATGTTGTCTGACGTGAAGTTGTTGGTTGTGCAGTTGCTGATGACAAACCTGTTGTTGCTGTTGAGACAATGGGTGGAACACATTTCCGTTTTGGTCTTGGTTGCCCCACATTGGACTTCCATTGTTGCAGAACAACCCATTGGCTTGAGGTACTTGGTTAATGGTGATATTATTGTACTGGACATGTTGCTCTGCAATCATGCCACACTCTGTGTTATGAGAACCTGAAAATGACTGTTCCATAGAATTTTGTGCCTTTGCACCGATGTACTGAGCCACTGGCTGATTGTAACTGGGTAAGCCTTGTTGGGAAGAGGCCGGTGACATCATGTCTTGATGCTTACTTGGGTTAAGTGCTGCCATTTGGAGGGGTTCAAAGTCAGCACTGAGATTTAGTTCATCCACAAGTGATGGTGCTGAAGAGAAGCCATCCTCCTCCAGCTCATCCAAACTTCCAACAAAGAGGTTGGGGTCATCAAAGAAGTCCATGGCAGATGACAGAATGTGACAGGAACCTTGGAAACACCACCAAATATGGTCCAATATGGTCCCAACAAGTATGTCTACAGAGTTACAGCATGTCCATTATTGTACATACCTGCCAAAAAGTGAAGAGAAAAAAAATATATTAAAATGTAACCTTAACAAAAGAATTAAGAAAAAAAAAGTGTTACCAAGTTTATCCATCCATCATCTTTTACCCACTTCTTCCATTTTGGGTCACGGGGTTACCAAGTTTATGTCAAGGTAAATAACAGATTTGTTTGTAAATCAATAAAAAATAATATCAGTAAAACAGTTCAACATAGAATTGACCTCGAGCATTTCATTTTTTTTTATTTTTATTTTATTTTTTTTTACAAATTATGTACAATCAGCTCTGCCTTTCATGTGTGCAGCGAAGCAGCTGGTGTAAACCAACTGCCAGCCGCCACAAGGTGCCTCTTCCTGTACCCCCACCCCCCACTCCTTTTCACACACATTTGACACAAGCAAACACATGCACCTCAACCCCCCACCTACGAAAGTACTGAAGCTGCCTTCCCTGCTACTGCAGATAAGTGTGGGAGGTGCAGACAGCTGATAGGATTTTAACAGCAAAGGGCAGAGGCTGAGAAGGCTCTCCAAGCATGCGCATTTAAGTGTTCAGCAACCACAGACCAGCGGAAGATGACAGCAGCCTTCCCAGGTCAGTCATTATGTGCTGACTTGCACACAGAAACACAAACACAGATGTTTCTCTTTTATCCAGGTCTAAAACAAAAGGTAAATGTACAGATTTTTTTAATGACTGTCAAATCTACAATTCAAACTACAGAGAACCTACCGAAATCGTATAAATATGTAAATCAAGGCAATGCTGGTTAGATGTTTAACACAAAATAAATAAATATGATGAACCTTTTTTAACATTTACTTTCTACTGGGGACTGAGATCGGTGTAGAGGTAGGGCAGCCGACCTGGGACCAGAAAGCCACGGTTCAACTCCCCGCCATGGACATGTCATGGTGTCCCTGAGCAAGACGCTTAATTCCTAATTGCTCCCCGGACGCTTCGCCCATTGCTCCACCTGGGTGTATCTCAGGTGTGATGGGTTAAATGCAGAGAACCAATTTTGTTATTGTATAGGAACACACAATGACAACAACACATAATGCTTACTTACTTACTGCATCAATCAGTCAAGACAAGAAAAGTAACCTGGAAATGTAGTATTGTAGCTTTAGCAAAGTTTTTACCTCAAACAAAGACACCAACTTTCCAAGCAGGTAAAACCTGCAGTGAAATAGTATTTGTATTTTTATTAGCCATAAATATGTAAGAATGCAAACATGTATATATATTAGGGGTGCGAATCTCTCAATATCTGACGATCCGATTCGATTCAGATTTTTGACGTCACGATACGATTTTAAATCGATATTTATTTTTTTATTTTTTTATTTTTTTATTTTTTCCCGATTCAGAAACGATTTTTCTATTGAAATGATCATAAATTGTGTTACAATTATGTAACTGACAAGCTGAAAAGATTAAACAACAATGTAAACAAATAGAACATTATTTAAAAATCATTTTAAGTTCATACTGTATCAAATATGTTTTATTCATTTTATATTTATACCAAAAATAGGAAAAAATATAGGAGTGCATAAAATTCTGTAACTTAAATTACCAGTATTAGGTTAGCTTAGTTGCCTAATTTTTTCCAAAAATAAATAAATATATAAAATAAAAATATACAAAAAAATATTTCATCCATCCATCATCTTTACCCACTTCTTCCTTTTCGAGTCACGGGTGTCACTGGTGCCCATGTCCAGCAATCACTGTGTGAGAGGCAGGGGACACCTGGACAGGTCTCCAGTCCATCACAGACAAATAATTCAAAATATATAAATACAAAAGTAAACAGACTTCAGCCTACCATACATAGTACATTATCCTTTAACTCAAAATAAAATACAGACTTCACAGTTATTGTTAACCATATTGCTCTAACATTTGTTATATTTTCAAAACTTAACGTAATATGAAATATACAGACTTCACAGTCTTAGCCATATTGATTCATATTTAGTAAATATTTAACAAAATTTCAAAACCTGTGCAAGTCTGCACAAAAACTCTTCTGAACTATAATGCATAAACCATAAACTATCATTTAGAGCTGGCTCCAGGTGATGTGTCTCATCTGGCCTCTTCAACCTGTTAAAAAGACAAATTACATCAAGTTTGTTGTAGAACTTGTCTATAAGTTTTTTGATAATATGACAAAAAATAGTAAACATTTAAGCTGCAGCTGCATCAGAGCTTCTCCCATTTGTTGTTTCATGGTGAAGTTGCGGTGCTGCTTTATCACTTAAAAAATTAATCTACATGAAGGAATAATGTACACTGAATCCAGCGTATTAAAAATAAACATGAACCCTCACCTTCCACTGAGCTGTCTG